GACCTACCTAGCTATTTAAGAAAGAAGGGTCTACCAGCCCAAGCTGTGGAATCAAGAAAAAGAAGGGTCTACCAGTCCAAGCTGTGGAATCAAGAACAGTAAGGGCTTCAAAATAGCCCTTAACAAAATTATCAAGAACAACCGAGGGATCTCACACAGGCCATCGGACTCCTTCCCTCAAGATGGCCACCTCTAGTGGGCGGCAATTAGGTAAATAGTTGTGATAGAGCAAGGCTGGTTGTGCAGAAAATATTTGTTGGTTAATTAGAAGCATTTGGGTTAACTAACTCCCCCCAAAATATCCAGGGACTGTCAGTCATGATATGTCTATTAAGTACAGTATAGTGTATGAATTATGAGAGATTTTTAAAGATTTGCAATTATTTCTTTTTTCTCCAAGATTAATATAAAGTATCCAATTAACAGTAGACTCTCAGTACAATTTTAATGCCATTCAAGCAAACATTTCTACTGTTGTTTATATGAGCCAGTTAGATGTATTCTCACATCACAGGAAGTTCAACTTCTGTATCCTTAAGAATCTGAATTCTGTTCAGTTGTTGGCTGCCAAGCCATGACACTACTAATTGATCTAGCCATGAAATCCAGACCATTGACCGTTACTTGCCATCATCCCATGGTAGTACCAGTTGGCCCATTAATAAACTATCCACTAACCCTTTCATAACAGAATGCCACTTAATATACAGTACAGTATTCTATAGATAACACCAGATGATTTTATTCAACAATGAGAGACCCCTCATTTCAAGGAGGTTAACAATAATGATGATTGGTAGTAATAATGCTCCCCTGTACACTGGCACAATGTAGTGGCGCAAGTTCTTTCACTTAAATATTCCATCTAAGCTGCCATTATTTGTACTGGGACGTTTTTCTTTACTTCGTATTTTACCATCCAGATATTCTTTTCTGTTATTCTTCTTCAATTCTTTATTTATAAGTATACTTTATGCGATTGTTTATATTCTTATACAGTATAAGTAATTCTTTTCTTAGTTATGTATGTTTTTTATATTAAACTTTCATGGTGTATTTATTAAATAATTTCTATGCTGTGTCTTTAGTTCCACAATTCACATACATGTCTTATCTTTCTTTTCTTGTACTTTCCAAGTCTCATTTCTTTTCATATAATGTATATTATATTTTCTAAATTTACATGTCCTTACCTTTCTGAAATATTTACTCTGTTTTACTTATATTCTCATAAATGGGTTAGTCTGGGGAACCATGTTATTCTTAGTACAACACTTATTATACTTGCAAAGGATAAGCTGCCACCACCCAGACTTTTTATTATATAACATAACTCATGGAAAGCTTTGGGTAGTGTGGTAGATGTATAGCCAAGACTGGCTGCAACAAGGCCACACCTGACTACGTTGTTCCTCGAACACACTTACAGATTAGGACCCAAATTCGCCGCAAACAGAGAGAAGCTCGGGAAGCAGCCATCCCCCTGGACTCCCCGCCCACCTGGTACGATGTCCTCCGTAAACTTCCTGACCTCTCGTACGTCTACGGGAAAGGGTCTCGGAAAGGGGACGTGATTGCTGCCCGTATCATCATTGGGTATGCCTTTGCTTGGGGGATTGGTATCCCCGCATCCCCTGAGCAACGCTCTTGTGCATTATGCAGAAGACCCGACAGCAGCACCCTTATCCACTACCTCCTAAGATGTCCCCACACACAACGCTTCCGTGACGCCTGCTGGACCACCACTCCACGACCCCCTGACGGAGACATGATGATCCTCCCCATACTGGCCAGATATTATGTAAATAACATTGATTATGTGTTAAAGGAATATCCTTCCTTCCTTAGGCTTTAGTAAGCCCCTTTATAATATTTATACTGTATTTACTTGTCACACTTGCCAGATGCTTCTGGTGTCATTGTACAGGGGTACCTAGTGACAGCACTAGGATCCCGCTTCCTCTATCAAGGAATAAACAATTGAAATTGAAAATTGAAATTAGTGGAGGTCACACAGGCCATGTGCACTGAGGTGTTGAACAGCAAACACCTAGAGTATTAACTACTCACAGATGGTGTTGTGATGGACCTAACTCGGTGTACTAATTCCTTCACGGATGGTGTTATGAGCGACCTGACGTGGTGCAGTAAATTCCCTCTAGAGTTGGTTTACATGGTTCAGTAATTCCCTCAAAGATGGTGTTATGAGGGACCTGATGTGTGGCAGTAAAATTCCTTCACATTTTATTTAATTTTTTCATTTTTTTACCACTTATAGCAGCCAGTTTATTGTGTATCCCATACTCATTCTGGGAGTGGTAGCGTAGAGGGGACAAAGAGTGTGCATAACAGTCTGCAGTGGTCAGGATATTGAACGTTAAAAGCTATTTCAAATACATTCTTTGTTTAGTTTTGTACATAAGAGGGTGGACTTGTTCGAAAATAGTGTTATGAGGGACCTGACGTGGTGCAGTATCAGTTGATTGTGAGGGAAATTTTGTAGAAGAAATGTGTCCCTAAGGCTCCTGTGTTGTCCGAAAGTAAAATAATGCCCATCTTTTTTATCGTTTTTGCCACGTATCAGTTTACTTGCCTTTCGGGTATAACATATAGAGTTAGTGACTGTGGTGTTGTAGTGGATTCCTCCCCTACAAGCACCGAACCTTCTCGAATTCCCCAGCCTACGCCTCCAGTGCCGCCCACGGAGCGGGGGTCAACTATCTACCCACGCCTACCCCCGCCTTATAAGGCCTGACACCGCTGTGACCACCCTCTCTCTTTTCTACTCAGTGCTACCTGCAAGCAACACCTCCTCCTCCGCCAGCAACCTTGGCGTCCCTCAAGCCACGTGCCCTCACTCTGGGCACCTTCACCACCCAGCTCTCTCTACTCAACGCTTATTACCATGCTACCTACCCAGCAACAAGCTGCATTGTATATCCAATACAGTATGTATACGGTGAGCACATTGTGAGTTTCCTTTCTCCATCCCATCCTGAGTGTGAACCAATATCTCATACCCCTACAAATGGTGACCCCCGGAGATTCGCACTCACACAGGATGGAGGAGAAACCGATCACTCTCCCAGTCTTCAAGCAACATGGAAGACTGGCTTATCCACGCATCTGACGACTCTGTACCTGTCGCGAGGGAAGCACAACATTCATCGCCTCCACAACCCTCCTTCTCCCTCTTTTCTCCCACAGATCCCGTGTATCTAGACAGAGTTGCCCCTCTAGCGGCCAGCTCATCCACGCCCTCGCTGTTATGTGCCACATGTGGCATGCACCGCCCGTTCTGCCTCACTTGTGGCACGCAACTCTGCCAACCCCCAGCCGCGCCCGGAGGGGAAGGGGAGTATTGTAGTGGATTCCTCCCCTACAAGCACCGAACCTTCTCGAATTCCCCAGCCTATGCCTCCAGCGCCTCTTACGGAGGGGGGTCAACTATCTACCCACGCCTACCCCCGCCTTATAAGGCCTGACACCGCTGTGACCACCCTCTCTCTTTTCTACTCAGTGCTACCAGCAAGCAACACCTCCTCCTCCTCCGCGCCAGCCATGCGGCTGCCGCTCCCGCCAGCGACCTTGGCGTCCCTCAAGCCGCGTGCCCTCACTCTGGGTACCCTCACCACCCAGCTCTCTCTACTCAACGCTTATTACCATGCTACCTACCCAGCAACAAGCTGCATTGTACATCCAATACAGTATGTATACAGTGAGCACATTGTGAGTTTCCTTTCCCCATCCCATCCTGAGTGTGAACCAATATCTCATACCCCTACAGTGTAAAGGTCAGCATTCTCGCCTCGTAAGCAAGCGGACCCGAGTTCAATCCCCTGGCAGTGAAATTATGGGCAGGATTCTTTACGCCAATTGTCTCTGTCTACCCAGTAGTAATTGGGAACCTGGATTTTAATCAATTTGCGGATTGTGTACTAGGGTAATGGTTAGCCAGTGCAGTCGGCGAGTTGCCCGGTCTTCTTGGACAGTTCCTTGACACTGGGTCGTGCAACTCATTAACTCAGGGTGTGGTTGTTGTGTTGGCAACAGCTTCTACACCTTAAACAAATTCACGCCTATGTGGCCCTTGGGCCGGCCAGCCTCGTTACATGAGGGCCAACCATTATTTAGTACAGGACACCTGTGATGTTTGGTAGGGTCACACTTCACCCTTCTCACATGTGTCCAGGCCGAGGCTCGAACCCTTGACACATTCGTGAGAGTTACGCTTTACCGCTGCTATACCCCCAACCCAACACCCTAATGAATTGGCATCCATTTACAGTATATTTTCATGGGGGATGTTGGGAAAGTGTGATCATGTCGTCAACAGCAGCAGTTGCTCAAAGATTACTGCAGGAATAATATAAATGTAAAGAAATTTATGGGAGGGTGTTGCCTTAGATACACAACTGTTAATTATTTGTATTTGTAGAGCAGTGTAAGGTAATGCATAATATTACAAGGAAAAGTGTTAAAATTCAAATTTAGCGAGATATCGTTCATTTTAAATTTATTATGCCACAGTAAATGATATCTTGAAACATTGATAAAAAATTGAGCTTTCATGAATGAAACTGGTTAATTCGGGTGAAAATAAACTATTTCAGTCAAAGTTTCCCTGAAATCCTCAAATCGGTAAATGTTTCATTAAAACATCATTTGCCTGTAATGCTGGTAAACTTTCATGTTCCTCTACATGCATAATTATTTCTATATATTTATGGTTGTATAAGATCAATCCTATAGTTACCTTATAGTATGGTTACAAACACAATAACATTGTCTTAATTTTAATAAATAAGTACATTTATATTTAGAGCAAATAATATTGCAATATAATATTAAATTTCCCAATGGCAGCAAGTAAATTGCCATTGTGAAATGAGGCCTACAAATATATCTTAAACCTTTAACCTTTATACAATGAATTTGTAAATAAGTATAGGGATTTTGATATATACTTTATAGAGCTGACGAAGTTCTTTTGTTTCATCGATCGCCCTTATTGGTGTACTCCTGTCGTCTATAGTCCAGCAGGGCGCGCTCATAGCTGGTGTGACGTCATTTAGCGCTCCTTCTTTCAGCGGCGGCTCGACACCGTGTCCTCGTGGTCGCTCGAGTCGACAAAACTAAGGTAAATTACCCCAAGCAGGGATTGTTACATCTCCTTCATGCCACAGATATCAAGATGGGTTATTCAGGAAAATGTTAAGTAACAGTGAACGTGTCCTCAATTTTGGTGAATAAAATATTGAGTGAAATACAAAAAGTGACAAGAATAGCAGCAGACGAATACCAAGAACGGTGTCACGTGGAAACTCAGAGTAGGAGCAATTAACTCGCCTGTAAGACCTGTGATGGCGTTTGTTGATGGGGGAGGCAATGGTGTGGGGGGAGGGGTATAAGGTGAGGGAACAAAGCCGATGCAGAGAGTCACCAAGGCCGCCCGCCACCATCACATGGCGCACCACGCACACCACCACTGACGCCGCCGATCTCTGGCAGTGATCGTGATATTTTCTGCATGTATGTTACTTAAGTGTATATTAAGCACAGTGATTGTGATTATTGCGATAATTAGCAGTTCTCGTAATCTTGTACGGTACGACTGTTATACCACCACCACCACCCACCGCTGTACACGTGATGTATTGTGTGTTGGGCCGCATCGGCTTTATGCAGCCCTGGTGGCTTAGTCCTATATATTAACCTTTATATCTTTCAATCTAACCACAAAATATGTTTGTTCAAATCTCCAGGACTTTGTATCCCTCTGGGACTCTGTTTTTTATTTCAATTATCCATCCCAGACTCTTGCCTTCCCCTGACCCTCATAACCTCAACTTTGCACATTACTATTCCCTCATCCCTAATTATAAGCTATTACAAGTGGTATTGGTTAATATATAGGACTAACCCGCCAAGGGCTGCATAGCGCCGATGTGGCCGCATCATCTCACGTTCAGCAAATGGGTCAAATTTCACCATATCAGAGTAAGTTCTTTCTGTTTAATATACCGGGGAAGTTAGGTAAGGTCAGGTAGGTTTCTTTGGTTAGGTAGCATTTGGTTAAGTAGCATTTATTTTAATATCCCTTTTTAACACATATCCACAAACTACAACAGTGTCCACTATAACAATGAAAATCCGGCTTATTTATAATTGTTTTCAATAAATTTCGCTCGCGGGTTAGTCCTATATGATTACCGTGGTAATGTATATAAAGGTTGCTTCATTAGATGAATATAGAGCTTATGGCTGTGGTAGTATTCTGGTGTATTAGCTTCATTTCTAGTGCAACTGGAATATTTGCTAAAAATCTATTTAAGATATACCTAAATACACCAGAAAATTTATTTTCATTCGATAACCATCTAATTACACCAGAAATACCAAGCCGCCTAATCAGGGGGGAGCTTTGGTTGTGTAATTAAAAGAAGTAGCATGATTGACATAGTTGCCCATTTCATATAAAAAATGGTGGCAAACTGCCTCTGTTCCTGTATTTGAAATTTGCACATACATTATGAGCATCCTGTTCAATGGGGTGCTGGACAACTCGTACCCACCAGAACATGTCAACTTGTACCAAATTACGAGATAACTCTTACCCAATTTACGAAACAGTTCGTACCCATATATATATATATATATATATATATATATATATATATATATATATGTATATGTATGTATGTATGTATGTATGTATGTATGTATGTATGTATGTATGTATGTATGTATGTATGTACACACACACACACTTTCGTGTAATTCACATCTTCAGGGGTGAGTACAGACTAAGGAGAAGTACAAAACAAGGTACATATATACAGAGGAGGGTGAGATCAAGTCCACAATGGGCAGGTATTTGGTAATGACCCTACTAATCTTCAAAAAGCACCGCAGTCGGTAGTCAAATTCATGTTGAATTTGAGTAATGGTATGGTATATATATATATATCAGTGGTCCCTCGGTTAACGAACAGGGTTAGGGACCCAAATCCAGGTCGTAAGTCGAAAATGCTTAAATAATACGTAGAAAATCTAAGATGGGTCTCTTTTTTCTTCTCAGCACCACAAAAATCTCACTTTTTAAGCTTGCCAGCCATTTTAAAGTGAATTTACAAACAAAAATTTTGTCAGTACACTGATGCTGGGGCTCGAAAATACATAATTTGACAAAATTTTGGTACGACTGAGGCAGGTCGTGAGTGCTGGTGATCGTAAGTCGGGGAGGAGCTGTATATATATTGAATATATTACGCAACAACATCCAAGAAGTAGATACGATGGCAACAACCTTCAAGGAAATAACAAATTCAACAGAACTTGAGGTAAATGTGGATAAGACCAAAGCACTGATTATGGAAAGAAACCAAAGGCAAAACTCACAACGTGTTGGTATAAGTGGAATGAATATTAAAAAAATGAGTCCTTTAAATACCTTGGATCACTTCTGACAAGAATTCTGTACAAGTTTGAAGAAGAAATTATGTAAAACCAGTGTCAATTATAGCTAGGATTGGAGCTGGTAATAGATGCTACGGGCATATAAATGAAGATCCATATCAATAACAACAAAGCCGAGAGTTTACAACACAATAATACGTCCATTTCTTAGTTATTGTTAATCATGGGATACAGTTCTGCAAATTTGTGATCCTCATTTCTGATGTCATCATAATCCATTAGGCAGCATTCTATCACTACTCTGAACCGTTTGTGTATACAGTATTTTTATAAGCAACCATTCTAGCCTGCACCCCGCATAATAGAGACTCGGGAGAAGTGTTGTCATCAACATGCTGCGTTAGTTGTATAATTGTGGTTACAAGTACTTTGTATTCTACAGTACTACATAAAGCCTGTGCTTCCATCAAAAATAAATGCGCGAGTTGGGTACAAGTTATCTACGGTACGAGTTAACTTTTTTTAGTGCGATATATCTTGGGTACGAGATGACCCTAACCCTGATGAGCTTGCCACCCTTTTGAGTAATTAACTAAAAAAAGGAAAAAAAAATTAGTTGTAATGTAAAGAAATGTCTTTGAAACTAAATACAGTATTGTTGTATTTACCTTACACCTTTGATAAAAAAGGTGAATTTAATAGGTGCACCTCCAATTATGAATTTCAATAACTGACTTGGATTATTGACTTTTTTTAGTCCAACTTATATGACAAGAGGGCATCAGTTAACTATGCACTGTAATCTTAAAAAGCACCTTGTTTTAGAGGAGACTCAAAGGAGCACAGGAAAATGTCACATGAGACTCGTGTGCATGCGCTTACTTTTTAATTGGTGGAAGTGTCGATGTCACATAATACTCGTGCAGATGTGTTTACAAGCATTTTCGTGGGAAATTTATGTTTTATTTTTACATTGCTTTTAGGATTGTTTATATTTTTTCTTTCATCTTATTGGGTTACAGTATGTTAGGTTTACACCAGGGGTCCAGGGGGCAGAGCACCCCCTGGATAGGTAGTAAGGTCAGGTCCTTCTGGTTAGATTAAGTTAGACTTGTATACCTTGTACTGTCATTAGGTTTGGCTTCATCCTTCCCCCCCC